CCCTTCTCGCTCTCCTTCATTACCTTCTGTAAAAGGTTTCGTAATTTCCTTTTCGCCTTTGCTACTAAAGAATCTAATCTTTCTACTCTTTTTTAAATGCCATTTCCATTCAAAGAGAAGGGATCGAGATTTTCCGGTTTCCTTTGCTTCAAACTTTTATGCCTTCTCTGGAAAGACAGCGGGGTGTTTTCCAGTTGTTTTCTGCACTGCTTGGCATTAAGAGTTTTATTTTCTTAAACTGACTGATACTCAGAGCCAGGGGGTACGGTTCCCGCTGCTATTGATCCATCAGCAGGAGAGAGACGATATGGACTATTGCCTTTCCTAAGGGCAACTGCGCAAAGGTAAAAGCCCTTGGCTAAGCTAGGACTTCAATGCGGTTCACCAATATCAAAACGCGCTTGCGCCCCCCCCCTAAAAAAGACAAAAAGAACAGACACCACGCAAACTTAGACCTATTTTAGGGAAGTGGGGTATATATAAATTGAGAACTTCGATGTGGTGTAATGGTTAACAAGTTTACCTCGCTAGATAAATTACGACTGAGTAGTGAGTTCTGCCTCAGACTTTCGGCCATTTGCGAAATCTAAGCAACGCTTAGAAAATCATTTGGTAAGCAAGAATGTGGTGTTTTGCTGCAAGAAATATTGTATAGTTTGTTTGGGTCAGTGGTTGAGGCTAGCTAAGTTTCTTCATCCCCACTTTTGACCTTGTGCCATGTTTTTTTTTTGCATTTTTTCAGAAATAAATATCGTGGTTAGCAAGCTTGTCCAAATACGATTGAGTAGTGAGTTTGATCCTCTCTGGGGGCAGCACACTTTCGACCTTGGGCCACATTTAACTTACGTTTAGGAAACTACTATATAGCATCGGTGCTAATAAATAGTTATTAGTGTATAACAGTGAGATATATATATATATATATATATATATATATATATATATATATATATATATATATATATTTCATTAAAAACGACAGACAAGGTACTACGGTTAAGCTTTTTTATTTAATTTTTCTTGTGTTCAAACAAGAGCTTTTCTAGACATAGGATGTGTAAATGTTTTATATTTCCGAACGTTTTCGTCTATACCTTTAGCCATTAGCAAGGATGATTCGATTTTAATTGAGTGTGTGCGTGATGTGTATGTCAGTGTGTGGTAGGGATGTTTTTAATTTCCGAATACGGTTAGCACATTGTAGCTAATATTGTTAAAGAGTTATATATATATATATATATATATATATATATAGTAGAAGACGTAGGATTATTTTATCAACATCGTTTAAAATAAAAATCACGACGTACCAACTTATACAGATTTTTGCAGCAGCCATGTTCAGCCACAAAATGTCAAATTCTGGGCAAATACGATGTTCTCTCTGGACGTAATGAATATTTGAAGCTAAATAGAAAATAACGCTGAAGAGAATTGAATTACTGTATATACTCGCGTATCATGTGGCATTTAAAAACCCAATTTGACAACAGTAAATGGATATATAGTTTGTTCAAAGCCAGGGCCAGTAGTACACTTGCTAATTCTATATTTCGTCTAGGATTCCCCGACACTGACCGCTTAAAATAAGGCCTTCAAAAGTCGCATGATACGCGAGTCTAGCATATACGGTAAATTTGATGTGCTATTTAAATGGTTTCTTGGTTACAGGAGAGTCTTGCAAAAATTGGTGAGAATACATGAAGGTACGAACGGTATGTTTTAGTCTTAGTATAATCAAGCTTGCATAAAAAACAGGCGAATTAAATAGTTTCATAAGAAAAAAAGCAAACAAAACACTACTTATTTTATTTATTTAAAGAATTATAGACTCGGAAGTAATAGTAAATAATATTTATGAAATGCAAGCACACACACACAAAAAAAATAAATAAATAAATAATAACTCTTACACTAATTATTAGTTAATATCCTTTTTTTTTTACCCTTGGAAAAGGGAATACGATTTTGGCATACTAACAAATAGTATAAAAACTGTTTTTTCAAAACAGATAAGCTGCAAGAAAATTTTATTTTATCGACTGGGTTCTTAATGTTGAACAACAGGAATAAAAAAAGGTGGTCATATAATTCTGCAGGTTTTCTGTTGATTTATTTAATAAAATTATTTCCAACGACATCGAGACTGGCTGTAAGCGACTACTTAATCCGCACGATTTCTTTTGATTCTTTCCGTGAAAAATTCGCAGACAGAAATAGCACGTTGAAAAATGTTGAAGATTGGAATTATTACAATTCTGATTGGAAGCCTAAAAATTAAAGGAAAAAAAAAAAGGAAGCTCCAATAAACTTTAATAGACGCCGTTAATAAAAATTGTGTGTGTGTGAAAGACAAGCTTAGTAAAACAACACTCCGGCGGGCGTCTAATAAGAATTACTTCAGCCAAAAATAAGAATCCGATAGTTACGTGCGTTTCCCGCCAACCGATTTTCCTAGTAGAGGTAGTTTGGTGAGAGAGAAAAAAAATGAATTCTTTTGTCTTTCATTGTGTTGCTAGTCTTTCTAGAGAACTTTTTTTTTTTATACTTCACGCCGGACTTTCATTAGATGTTGAGGAGCCGAGCGACACCGATCGAGGTGTCGATTCAGTCGTATACCCACATTTTGAATTTGAATTAGACGATGCAAAGGACGATGCCGAAGCCAGACTTGAACCATCGTCATCAGATATTGTATAACACGTCGTATCAATGATGTGACAGTATTTTCCCAGGGGACTGTTGTTATTCGGAGCAGGGGAGGAATAATCTTCATCTTCCGCGCTAAGACAATCTTCTTCCTCGGTACTTTTTAAACGATAACCGTAGATATAGATGGAAGCGTTGCCGACCACAAATAAGCGTACGTTGAGTTTCTTTTCGAAGAACAAGTTAAGCGGTTGCTGTCGCCATCCTTGCGATAACTCACAGACTTGGTAACGATCCTTGCCTTTCTCTAGCCATAGAGCTGCTTTAGGGGAGTTATGCTCCTGTTTGATCAATTCCTCGTTTATATCGATACAGGCCATGACGATGTGAATTCCATAAGTTTGTACGATCACTTTAGAAGAATTACTGTTAATCTTAGTGCCGTAGAACTCTGCATAATCAACGGCAAGCGAAGAGTCTTCAGACATAGTAGCATAAAAGGAAACGAAAATTCGTAGAAATAAATTCAGCGAGAAAAAAAATATACTTAAATCCCTAAACGGAAGTGGTTTACCAATGGTGGAGGATATTCATTTATTTTTTTTTTCATAAAAAAAGAAAATAATTTTATGGTTCCGTAAATGTCTTAAATTGTTCTTCTAAAGAGTTTACCTTGAAATTAATAATTTCTCGCCACACTAATGGCAACTTACGAAGCGTAGCTTAGATGTGACGTAAGAACGAATTCAACAGTATAAAACACGAACCGTTCCCCCAACTCCTGAATAAGAATACTAATAAATCATATTTATCCGTCCGCTTCGACTAACGAAATGGTGACGCAATGCTAAATTTAATTGCGTATATGGGACAGTCCAAGAAGAGGGAATTCGATTCGCTAACAATTACGGCACTACCATCAGTACCCCCCCACAAAGAAAAAGCAAAAGAAAAAATAAATATTGAAGAATAATAAAGGGACATAAATAGACCCCCCTCCCGCTTCTATCTTATATCTTTAGAGTTAAAAAAATCAATGAGACATATGGAACATGTGTGTGTGTGTGTGTGTGTGTGTAATGATATAATCATTTTAGCTTAGCGATTGAGGTTTGGTTTTGTAAGCGTATTTTAGACGTGGCATGAGGCCTGAAGCGCGGAGCGCCTAGTGAGGATCGAACTCACTACTCAGTTGTAAATTGGTCGAGCCAAAAAAAGCTTTCAACCCATTGCACTACGTCGAAGTTCCCATAAAATGATTTTCTAATCGTAGCTTAAATGTGGCACAAGGTCGCAAGCGTGGAGCACCCGGTGAAGATCGAACTCATTACTCAGTCACATTTGATCTTGGGAGATAAGCTTGTTAACGATCACTTCACGTTGAACTGTCCAAAAAATGATTTGCTCTTCATAGCTTAAAGACGGCATAAGGCCGAAAGTTTGGCGCACCCAGTGAGTATCGAACTCAGTCGAAATTGATTTCGCGAGACAATCTTTCTAACAATAACGCCAGATCGAAGTTCCCAAAAATGATTTTCTAATCATAGCTTAGGTGTGGCACAAGGTCGCATGTGTGGAGCACCTAGTGAGGATTGAACATACAGTTGTAACTGATCTAATAAAAAAAAAAGCTTGCACATCGTTATTCGACACCGATGTGCCTAATTTAGCGAAGAAGGGTACAGTCATAAGTTTCTTCCTTTAATTTTCCTATTTTTTTTTATATACATATTCTGCCTTGACACCCACATCCTGAAATGACATGGTATATAAAAGAACTCTTCGTAATCAACACCTTTAGCAAGTAGCTAGGCGGCCTTCCCAAGTAAGCGCCCCTCCTTAGTGGGGTAGGGGTTTGCATTTATTGTTTGAATGTTGAAGTGTCGATGGGGGCTTGGGGGAATTTTTGTCCGGTATTGACATTAAAACCACTCGGTAGCATCGAAATACACTCATCTTTTAGGGGGCAGGAATCGCTGTTCTCTGGTAGGATGGTGATGAATTTTTGGCTAGGTTTGGGTGAAGAATCTTTCCCATGTGTTGCATTTTGTGTCATGTCTGGGTCCACAAGTTACCTTATAAAATGGTATCAACAAAAAGGACCATTTCTATTCTTCATTCGTCTTCTTAGGACAGAGTGGTAACAGATTGGATTCTAAGAGACAGATAGAGCATGTCGAATTTGGGCTCAGCGTACCTACGTGTATGGTCTTAGCCGGTCGCTAACCTGGATTTGGGAGTCGCATGGATGCTTTGGAGTTATGTGGAATTCGCGTCGTTTTGGACTTGTATCCAAAACTCAAATGCAATCCATCACTGTGAGGATAGCACACCCTTCAAAACACTCCGGCCAATCGCTGACAATTCTGGCCATGGCCTTCGTATTCTGTGACACATGCTGTTTCTTTGAAGAAAGAAATATTACCAATACATTTTTGGAATAATGATATTTCCAGCAATTCATTTTTTTTAAAAAATTACCAACAGTACAATTTTAAAAAGAATTACCAACAATACATTTTTTAAAAAAATTACCAACAATACATATTTTTAAAAAAATATTACCAGCAATTCATTTATATAAAAAATACCAACAACACATTTTTTTAAAAAAAATTACCAACAATACATTTTTTTTAAAAATTTACCAACAATACATTTTTTAAAAAAAAATATTACCAGCAATTCATTTTTTTTTAAAAAAATACCAACCATACATTTTTAAAAAAATTACCAACAGTACATTTTTTTAAAAATTACCAACAGTACATTTTTTGAAATTACCAACAAAACAATTTTTTAAAAAAATATTACCAGCAATTAATTTTTTAAAAAAAATTACCAATAATACATTTTTTTTTAAATTACCAATAATAAATTAAAAAAATATTGTCAATAGATTTTTTTTTTAAAAATATTACCAGAAATTCATTTAAAAAAAAAAAAAAATACCAACAATACATTTAAAAAAAAAAAAATTATTACCAACAATACATTTAAAAAAAAAAATTACCAACAATACATTTTTTTTTAAAAAAAATATTACCAACAATACATTTTTGGAAAAGATATTACCAGCAATAAAAATCTTGTCGGCATTAAATAACCCATTGAGGTTGATATGCCGTAAAACAAACCAAACCAAATCAAATTTTAGCGAAGTCTCTCCTATGAGTTATTCCTTATTGAATCTACACTGCAAATCAGTCTCATATCTCCTCTTCGCCAGGGTTGCTCCTTTCCAACTATGCCTATCTACTCAGGATCATTTGCATTTTTTCAATACCAACCTGTTGTGCATACTCAAACGAAGGTGTGCAGACATTTGTTACGTTTGTTTTGTTATGTAATAAATAATATATATATATATATATATATATATATATATATATATATATATATATATATATATATATATATATATATACATCAGACAGCCTACTGCTGGAAAATCTTCTGCCTGGTCAGTCATGAGTCGAAAAAGACATGATCGCCCAAGCGTGTATCACGTTTGCCACTTAACTGACTGATATGTCCGAACTTGGACACATATGGTTTTAAATATAGATATCTCCTTCTATACTGGCTGACAACCAGGGCTACAGATTTCAGTCAACCTTGCTATCAAATCCGTAGATGGGGGGTAGGCAGAAGAGCTATGGATTCATATCCTTTCCAAAGTTGTTTATTTGAAATTGATTAGGACTAACCAGGTTCCCGATTTTCGCATTTCATTTTCTAACAATTACACCAACCGCACACCCACATCTCAACCAATAATTTTTAAATATTTCATTTCGGTGATTTACTAAACATAGCTTTGATGTGACACAAGGCTGCAAGTACGGAGCACCCAATGAGGATTGAACGCACTACTTATGATCTAGCGTGACTAGCTTGTTAACCATTACACCACTTCGAAGGTACTATAATCCCTTTTTCATTTGCTAGCCTATCCTTACCATGTCGTTAGTTCCCTGGTAAATTTTTAAACGTGTTACATTCTTTAGTCGTCTTTGGCAATAATACTGCAGACACTCGTCGCTATATTACGGACTGAATCAACCAGGGTCAATTTTCTTTTTACTAGCTTTATTTCATGAAGGGGAGTAATCTTAACATTGTTTCGTGGAGGAGGTCACAGGGAGAAGGAAAACCGCTTTTTTTTTGTGAAACTGACTCCCAAGTGGATGCTTCCGCGACCATTACGCTCTTAACCTGTTCAAGTCAAGTCAGTTTATCTTCCATGAATATCCGCACAAACTGTGTCTCTTACTGTTTATCACTCTACCTCTAGAGGCTCTAGGGCCCTGTAGAAGGTGAGTATCATTATAAAAAAAGCAACAAAAGAAAATAGTGAGTATAGATATCAACCGGTTGATCAGCTGGTGTTGGCTTGTCTCACTAAGGATCCTGTTTTCGGTGAGGCATTTTGGCCTTTATAACAGCTGAAACCGTTTGACAGTCTTCACTGTTTTTAGGTCTTATATCAAAACTCAGACAAAAACGAGTCTATTTGTAGCAAAATTATCAAAAATACATATTTATAGTAAAAATTACCAAAAAATACCTATTTATAGTAAAATTGCCCGCCATGCCTGTCTGTATTAAGATCAAAAGCAAAATAACATATATCAGATTTTTATTACTTCAAATATTACAAAAAAGTTAAATTTCGGCATTAAATGACCCACAGGGTGTTGATATGCCGTTAAACAAACTAATCAAATCAATCTGAAAATAAAGCTCGGACACGCTGACTAAGTTTCAGCAGTTCATTGTTAATCCAAACAAATCCCTGTGGGGTGACGAAAATTATTAGCAATTATATAAAACTATCACATGACATTCTTTTCTGTGGTCGAACCCAGATGTTGCAAAAGAATTCCAATTCGGCTGAAAAAGAAAAAGAGTTTTCTTCTTTGTTCCTTATTTGGAAGTTGATCGATCTTTGTTCAGTCTATTAGTTATTGAGACGAAGTGCAAAATGTCCGATGGTTCTTTTCTGTGTTGGTGAAATAAAATTCTCGTTGAGGAACGAGGTGAACCCAGAAGTGCTTCTTTACCTCTGGCCGATGTTCCGCCTTCATTCGATCGTCTTTTTATTACTCGCCATGCCCCGGGGTAGCGTTTCTTTCAATCATAAAGCCGTGCTTAGTTAGTAGGTCATATGTTTCCTGACACCTGCATTGGACACCAGTTGCTAGGAAAGACGCATTTGGCTTTAAAATCACCAATTACCATTGTGAAAAGAGAAGAATCAACCGGAAGGCAGATAAATTATACTTAATACCACTTAGGAAATAAAAACACACACACACACACACACACAAACACACACACACACACACATATATATATATATATATATATATATATA